GAATCTTAACTAAATTATTGGTAATCATTTGCAATAGCGTACATATAGCATAATATGTTACACCCCAAACCAATATAAGATGTCAATTATATTAGCAAACTAGAAAAAAAAGTAACAATCAAATCTTAAACTCTGCCATTAAATTCTTTTTCTGTAAGTACAAGTGATTAACCTTGAAAGTACTTCAATTTCACAGCAGACCGACATAATAACTGGGTCATTAACAATTCAAGAACTTATCGATTTCTCAGATTAATGTTTAAAATGAACTCATAGAGTTACCAATATAGAAAAACAGTGTATAACAACCATGAAAATTTGTACTTTCCCAACTGCCAAGGAAAATATGAAAGAAGACACAAAAACACATGATAAAATCCCTGCCATCAGCTTCACATTAGTACAATTGATGTGCATGTGTGTGCACAATAAAACATGAGCGGGCCACACATGCAGAATTCCAAAGCCAGTAAAAATGACCTTGAAAAAAATAAAAACTTTGAAGAAAGTATTTAAAAATTTGTACTTGAAGAGGGCACGCGGGTATATGTCCTTCTTTCCCAAAATTGCCTGTATCACTGTGTATTTTTCATCAGACTTCATTGTTGAAGTACTAAAAAAATGAGAATACTTGCCATAAGGAAAACAGAAATGAGCTGAGGCATTTTTGCCAAGCAACTGAAGGATATGACTGGTCCCTGCAGGAGAGAATATACACCGCCTACAAGAGCTTGATAGAAACAGGTCTTCCTGTGAAGAGTAGTAAGAACTAACACCAAGAGGGTGGCTGGGGGTGCCAGGTGGGAGGGAGTCATCAGGGCAACTCATTAAAGCTATTAGGTATGTGAACCACTGGGAAGCCAAGGCCCTCTCACCAGCATAAGTAGAGAAGTTGAAGCAGCACTTTATCCAGAGGATAAAGGAACCGGCAGAAATGTGTTTTCTGAAAGTAGAAATACCTGGAAAGAATGCCAAAATGAAGGTGTCGGGACTTCTACAGAGAAGCAGAACAGGGCTGAAGTAACTCCAAAGATCTTCATCAAATAAGGAGTCAATAGGGAAGAGAAGAGGCAGCCCAGCAAAAAGAGAAAATATGTCAAAGATGTTCCCTACTTGAGCAAAGCTCTCCTATTTTAACACTTGTCATATTCTCAGCTGGTCTTCATTGTAAATAAGGACACACACACAATAATAATAATACACACACACACACACTCCAAAGTGAAAATGTATCACTATTCAGCCTCTGCCACCCAGAACCCCTCAAGTCAGACCTGGCTATTTATATAGGAAATGCTAGTGGTGAGAGAAACCCCAAAACTGAAGGAGCCTATGTAGTCATTAGTTTTATAAACTATGAACACATACCACCAAGAATCATAGGAACTATATCATCAGAATAATACTGGCCCTGCATGGAAAACTTGGGTGTGGTCTAAAGTTGGAGCAAATGTCTGACTCTTGGTTTTGGCTCAGGTCATGATCCTGAAGGAGTTTGAGTTGGAGCCCCAAGGTATAGGCTCCATGCTGATTAGTGCAGAGCCCAGCTTGACATTCTCTCTTACCCTTCCGTCTTCAAAATAAATAACAAACGCAAAAAAAAAAAAAGAATAACTGGCCCCAGTAAAAAACAGAAATGATTCAAGGAAGTACAAAAAATATTTAAATAATTCTAATTATCATCCTCGGAAAATGTGAGCATTAGCAAATTAGCAAAATGTGAGAAATTAGCAAATCAGAAAAATAAAGAAATCTTGGAAATGAAAATATAGTTGCACATATAAAGATTTCAAACTGGCTGAAAAAGAAGAGAATAAGAATAAATACCAAGTTCATAATCTGGGAATGTCAAAGAATCTTCTAGAACATAAAGCATAAAAGATGAAAAGGGAGAATAAAACAGAGAGAGTATGAAACAGAAAGAGTCATCCAGGAAGTCAAATATCTAAAATGTATAAGTTTCATCAAAAAACGTAAGAGACAAAGGAAGGGAAAAAATTATTAAGAAAATAATAAGGGGTGCCTGGGTGGTTTGGGAAGCCTGAGTCCACTTTCCAGCTCAGGTCAATGATCTCATCGGGTGCCTAGGAGCTTGAGCCCCACAGCTCTGGGCTGATGGCCGAGCCTGGAGCCTGCTTCCCATTCTGTGTGTCTCCTCTCTCTCTGCCCATCCTGGGCCATTCATGCCTGTCTCTCTGCTCTCAAAAATAAATAAACATTAAAAAAAAAAATTAAAAAAAAAAAAAAAGAAAATAATAAATGACAATTTACCTGATCTGAAGAAAGACCTGTGTGTTCAGACTGAAAGGGCCCACTGTGTGTTAAAAGGATTAAATAAGCAAGCATATTGACCATATTCTGGTAAAAACTGACCATGCTATCGTGGGTTGAATTGTGCCTCCCAAGAATATTTAAGTCTAAATCATAGGTACCTGTAAATGTGATTTTATTTGGAAATAGGGTCTTTGCAAATGTAATCAAGTTAAGATAAAGTAATACTAAATTAGGGTGGGCCCTTATCCAATACAACTGGTGTCCTTATAAGAAAGGGGTAAGGGAAACACACACACACACACACACACACACACACAGAACAACACCATGTGAAGATGAAAGCAGAGATTGGATGTACACAGCTTCAACTCAAGGAATGCCAAGGGCTGCCAAGGAACACTGGAAGCTAAGAGAAAGGTATGAAGTCTCAGAGAGTATGGTGCCACTCACATCTTGATTAGACTTTCTGCCTCCAAAACTGTGAAATAGTACATTTCTATTATTGTAAGCCACCTAGTTCTGGAAATTTGTTATGGTGGCCCTATGAAAGTAATATAAATGCCAATAGCCAAGAGAAAATGGCAAGAACTCCTAGGGGAAAAAAAATAGGATTCCTACAGAAAAAAATACTGGCACCAAACTTCTCACCATCAATATTGAAGGCTAGAATCAGTAGTATTATACCTTTAAGAGCTAATGGACAACAAACTTTGAAACTAGGAGTTTACACCCATCTAAACTGAAAATCAAAACTGATATTGAAATAAAAACATTTCAGAACATGTCTCAGAAAATTTTCTCAAAACCAGCTATGAAAATCACTAAAAAAAAAGAGAGAGAGACAGGAATCCAAGAAACTGTCAGTGTGAATATGAGAAATCATGGC